TTATAAAAAATGTTGGCAATTGTTAACTATATCCTTATGTCCGGGACGGGGGTTTGTTCGCGCCAAGCGCTAGTTTCAAGGATTGACGCTAGAGGGCGTTCGGCGCGGTGCATTCATACCGTCAGTCGTCTGTCAGCTGTACTAACAATTGGCACGCTGCCAATTAAGCGCGGGAACTTGGAATAATTAAGCGCAGACAGTAAAAATACGGTCTAGGAATTTTGTGGCGCGTATCCCTACTGGAGAGCTTCCCCGGGACTTATTAAATTAACTTTACTGACTGACTTATTAAAAAATTAAGGTATAATAACAAAAAATGTATGTCTAATTGTATATTAAAGCGCCTATTTAGTCAGCGTAACATAACTTGTGAATCTTCCAATTCTCTTAAGGATTTATTAGACATTACCACAGATTGTTTGCATGAATTGTCAAATCTAGGAATTGATATAAAGTCATGGGATGTTATCACAACATACATAATTAGTTTGAATTTGGATGTGAAAACTCGTAAACAATGGGAATTGTATGTTAGCCAGTTACCTGATGAACTACCGACGTTTAAGCAACTAAAAGAATACTTGAAAACAACATATCGAGCTTTAGAATTTGTGGAACCTAGTAAAAGTAAAACTCGCGCTAGTTATGCCAATGTAAACAATAATCCTAAAGCATTACATGTTACTTCCAACATTACATGCCCCCATTTTTCCGAAGCCCACCGACTGTATAATTGCAAACAATTTGCTAAAGAAGATGTTGATAAGCGAAGAAATATTGTTCAATCACTTGGCCTTTGTTTTTATTGTCTTGGTTATAATCACAGTAATAAAATATGTCGCGTAACAACCAAATGCCGAATTAGTAAGCGAAAGCATCACACTTTTGTTGAGGATAAATAAATATTGTCTACAGCCCTTTTAGGTTTTTTTATATCTTGTAAGTTGTTGTCATGGTTACGAAAAAATAACAAGAAAAATGTAAGACTAGTTTTTCGTAATAAGTATATTTTTGTTAGAAGATTAAATGTTTCAAGTCTAAGAAATCTTCTTATTTCAACGTGAGGAGCTACATACAACGGTTATACAGAAACTCCCCACATAATGGCGACCGTGAAAGCGGATAGACCTGGACAAACCGAACTCGACGCTATGAGGCGTAAAAGGGCATACACACGTCGAGTATTCATCAGGTCAGTGCGAGAGATAGAGGAGTCGAATGATATTGAGCAGATGACTGTCGAATTTCAGTATCTTGTAGAGAAATTGGAAGAGTTAAAATCTTTTGACAGTCAAATAAAAAATATGACGATCGATTCTTGCGCGGATGAGCAATTTGATGAAGAATGTGACGAATGCGAATCGTATTTAAGGAAGTATTATGCAGTAAAAGTTAAGATTGAAAAATTACGAAAGGAATGTGATAGAGCAAATACATCTTCAGCGGCTACTGACGGATCTCATCAGAAGAGAAACATAAAGCTACCGAATATCGAGCTCATAAAATTCGATGACAATCCGAAGGCGTGGATATCTTTCTGGGGACAGTTCAAAAAGATACACGAGGACGAGACTCTTGAACCAGAAGATAAGTTCCAGTATCTCATACAGGCTATGAAGGAGGGGTCCAAAAGCAGAGAGCTCGTAACTAGCTACCCTCCGTCTGGCAAGAATTACCCAAGAGCGCTGGAGCAGCTACAGGGACGATTTGTTCGAGAAGGTATCCTCATCGAGACGTATGTGAGAGAGCTGCTAGGTCTCGTATTAAGTCAGGCTAAGGGACAAAATATGGATATAAGATCGCTTTACGACCAGTTGATGACCCATTTGCACGCTTTAGAGTCACTCAAAGTAACAACGGAAAAGTACGGAGCGATGTTGTATCCATTAGTCGAATCAGCTTCACCTGAAAATATTTTAATTGTTTGGAATCGAACTAGAATTGTAAACGATGTTGGTCAATTAACGCAACTTTTAGAGTTCTTAAAACGAGAAGCCGAGGCTGAGGAACACATTAAATTGACGCGCGCTAACTTTAATACTTATAGTTCTTCCAGCAGTGTTGATATGCCGCCGACAGCAGCTTGCATCGTTTCGAAAGAGGAGACAAGTTCCAGTAAAACAGGTAATGACTTTTGTGATAATACGTCTCATTCGATTCTTCAATGTAATAAAGGGCTCAAAATGTCTTTAGATGAAAAGAGAGCCGCTGTCAAAGATAAGAGGGGTTGTTTAATTTGTTTACGTAAAGGTCACGTAGCTAAGCACTGCAAGACGTTTTTAAAATGTATGGCCTGCGGTAAACGTCATGTAGTGATATTTTGTCCGGACCTTCATAGGGATAAACAAAAGGAACCCAAAGAAGCGACAGCACTTTTCTCTAGGAAAGGTGGAAATATTTTATTACAGACTTTGATTTTAGAGGTTTCACATGAGGGTAAAAAGAAGAAAATACGTGCTCTGTGTGATACTGGATCGCAAAGGTCGTATATTAGGAAAAACGTAGTAAAAGAGTTAGGCCTTAAGGTAGTAGGTATAGAGAATTTAGGTTATTCACTATTTAGTAGTGTTACTAAGCCAGCAGAAAACCACAGTCTTGTCGAAGTGAATGTAAGTAGTCTAGATTCTTCTTTCTCTACAAAATTCATTGCTCTTGAACTCGACGACATTTGTGGCTATCTTCCCAAAGCAGACGATCCCAAGCTAAGGTCAAAGTTAAAGTCACTGAATATAAGTATTGACGACAGTGACTGTGACCTTAGCGTTGTAAATATGTTAATAGGAGCTTATTATTTAGGAGTAATTTGTACGGGCACTATTGTACAATTAGATGGGCCTTTAGTAGCTATTAAGACGAGGCTAGGATGGACATTACAGGGCCCTAACTTTTATAGTGCTGCACAATGCTCAATGACTTTCAATTGTCACGCTCAGAGTAAACTTTCAGATTTGTGGAATTTAGAGATATTAGGGATTTCAGAGCCACATGAACAAATGTGCAAAGATAGGAAAAAAGAAGAGGTAATGAGTCAATTTGAGCAGAATATTAGTTTTAAAGACAATTGTTACCAAGTAGGGTTTTTGTGGAAAGATGGTTACCCCGAAATAGGCAGTAATTACAATGTAGCTTATAAAAGACTTTTAACGAAGACTAGGAAGTTAGAGAGGACTGGTCATTTGCTAAGTTATAACGATGTTTTTCAGAATTGGTTAGACTAAAATATTATAGAACATACCGAAAACAATATAGCAGAAGGACACTTTATTCATCATCACGCAGTCATTAAGATGTCTAGGACTACAACGAAGATACGTCCAGTATTCGACGCATCGTGTAAAGATGCGCAAGGATTGTCTTTGAATAACTGCATCGAATCGGGTACCAATCTTATAGAACTAATCCCTAAATTATTGATGAACTTTAGGAAAGGTACGTACGGCGTCACGTCGGATATAAAGCAAGCCTTTCTGCAAATTTTAGTTTCAGAGAAAGATAGAGAGTATTTAAAGTTTCTGTGGTGGGAGAATCCGTTGACCAAAGAGAAGATAGTCACTTTCAGACATAAGAGAGTAGTATTTGGGGTGACTTGTAGTCCGTTTCTCTTGGCGGCTACGATTAATTATCACTTAGGCAATTTTGAAGGAATGTACGGTCAGACAGTTGAAATTTTGAAACACTCCTTTTATGTTGATAATTGTGTAGCTAGTTTTGATACAAAAGAGGCTTTATTTACTTTTATAGACGAAGCTAAGGAAGTTATGCTAAAGGGGGGTTTTGATTTACGATGTTGGGTTACCGCTCCTATTAGAGTAGATAACACTGTCCAGACTCAATCTGTATTAGGAGTGCTATGGAATACTCTTACGGACGAATTACAGTGTAGTTTCCGTCTTAGTAGCACTATACCAGATCGGGTCACGAAGAGAGATCTTTTGTCATTAACTCAGCAGATATATGACCCTATTGGATTTCTTGCACCTGTTACCCTAGTGCCTAAACTAATAGTACAAAAGGCTTGGATAGATAGTACAGGTTGGGATCAAGCTATCAACAACGAGTTATCGAAGGAATTTAAGAGTTGGCTAAATCATGTTCATCTGATAAATGATTGCAAGTTGCCGAGACGCTTATCAGAGGAGAGGTTGACGAACTGTAACAAAAGTTTACATTTGTTTTGTGACGCATCTATTAATGCTTATGCAGGTTGTGTCTTTCTTCGGACCGAATGCAAAAGTAAAGTTACGATTAGGCTGGTTATGGCCAAAAGTAGAGTAGCGCCAATTAAAAGATCAATAACTTTACCTAGATTGGAGCTAATGGGAGCGCTTATTGCATCGCGGCTTGCAAATGAGATAAGTAGAACGTTGTTTACCGACGACACCTGCCCGTTATATTGTTGGACAGATTCCGCGGTTGTGTTAGCCTGGATCCAAAGACAGTGTTCTTGGAAGCCGTTTGTGAGCAATAGGGTAAGTGAAATTTGTGCTCACACTAAGAAGGAACATTGGCGGCACGTACCGGGCCACTGCAATCCGGCAGACCTACTGTCACGTGGCTGTAATATGAAGACATTAATGGACAGTCACTGGTGGGATGGCCCTGCTTGGCTATTATCTGACCAAGAACTGTGGCCTCAGTCTAATCACATCGCAGTAGATGAGAACGCTGTTTCCATAGAAGCAAAGAAGGAGGTACTTGTAAATACTAATGTAGATACTGAACATTTTAGCGAGAAGCTTTTGTACTTTTCTAAGTATTCAAGAATTGTACGTGTAGTAGCTTGGATATTCCGATGGAGAAGGCGACGAATGTTTAGTATAGCTTATATAAGCAATGATGAATTCGAAGAAGCTGAGAATATACTTATAAGACTTATTCAGGGTGAACATTATGTAAATAGAACTAAATTGAATAAGAAACTGTGCATACATTTAGATAGTAATAGTCTCTTCTATTTTCAACTTATCATTATTTACAATTAAATGTTTGTAATTACTAATTTAATGGCCCTCTCTTTGAATTAGTTTTTTAAATAATTTGCGTTTTGAGGTTGCATCACTTTTTACATTATCTAATTTAGCTATATGATAGCAGCGTATGGTCAAATATTTTTCGGCGACCAGTCTTATTAGGTTCACTTGGTGAAGAGAACCACACGCATGTTCAGTTTCAACTTTAAAATAAATATTTTTATGACCAATAAATTGTTTTAATATACAAGATAAAATGTTTGTGTAAGTTGACCTAGTCATTATAAAATGTTGTCTAAGAAACTTTCGGATTACTGTCTCCGAAGTCTTACATATAGAATATACATCCCTTGAAGCATAAAATCAACCCGCCTTCATCCCGTGCACTAACTAGCTTATGGTATTCATGCTTTTCATTTGAAAACAAACATTCAATGCATGCAGTACATTTGATTTGTCTACGCAGACATCTCACAACACAACCTGAAATGTAACCAACTATCATCATCATCATCATTACAGCCCTTCACAAGCCCACTGCTGAACATAGGCCTCCCCCAAAGAATGCCACAAAGCACGGTCCTGAGCCACCTGCATCCATCGACTTCCTGCATATCTTACCAGGTCGTCACTCCATTTAGAGGGGGGACGCCCTACACTTCGCCTGCCGGTACGAGGCTGCCACTCGAGAACCTTTCTTCCCCATCGGTTGTCGGTTCTTCGAGCTATATGGCCGGCCCATTGCCACTTCAGCTTACTAATCCGTTGGGCTATGTCGGTCACTCTAGTTCTACTGCGGATATCCTCATTTCTGAGTTTATATCGCAGAGAAACTCCGAGCATAGCCCTCTCCATAGCTCGCTGAGCGACCTTGAGCTTCCTCATCCGGCCAGCAGTGAAGGACCACGTCTCAGTTCCGTATGTCATCACTGGCAACACGCACTGGGTGTACAGTCTCGTTTTCAAGTTTTGAGGTATACCTGACGAGAAGATGTGCCGTAATTTCCCGAACGCTGCCCAACCGAGTTGAATCCGTCGATTGACCTCTCGGTCGAAGTTGGACTTACCTAGTCGGACTATTTGTCCCAGGTAAACATACTCGTCAACAACTTCGAGCTTAGTGCTCCCAACAACTACCGGCATAGGTGTGACATGGACATTAAACATGATCTTTGTTTTGTCCATGTTCATCTTAAGACCTATCCGTTGGGAGACACTATTGAGGTCATTGAGCATAGTGCTTAGGCCCTCCAGTGATTCTGCCATAAGGACTATATCGTCGGCAAATCGGAGGTGAGTGATGTACTCGCCATTGATGTTGATACCGTATCCTTTCCAGTCCAGAAGCTTGAAAACGTCTTCCAATGCAGCGGTAAAGAGTTTCGGGGATATGACATCACCCTGTCTTACACCTCTCTGCAATTGGATAGGTTTCGTACTCTGGTTCTGTACTCGGATAGCCATCGTAGCCCTACTGTACAGGCACTTCAACACTTCGATATACCGACAGTCAACTTGGCATCGCTGAAGGGACTGCAGCACCGCCCAAATTTCGACGGAATCAAAGGCTTTCTCATAGTCCACATACGCCAGACATAGTGGCAAATTGTACTCCTCGGACTTCTGTACAATTTGCCGAAGGGTATGTATGTGGTCTATGGTGCTAAAGCCTTTTCGGAAACCGGCTTGTTCGGGAGGCTGGAAGTCGTCAAGTCTGCGCGCGAGACGATTCGTAATGACTCTCGAAAACAGCACGTAGACGCGGCTCAGAAGGGAAATCGGTCTGTAGTTCTTCAAGAGAGCGTTGTCGCCTTTCTTGAAGAACAAGACCACCGCACTTCTGCTCCACGCCTCCGGTGTAATGCCACCATGGAGGACGGAATTAAAGAGCTTCTGAAGGACTTCAAGTACCGGTTTTCCACCCGCTTTCAGAAGCTCCGCTGTAATTCCATCCTCGCCTGGGGCCTTGCCGTTTTTAAGGTGCTGGAGAGCCATTCTAATCTCGCTCAGACTGACGTCCGGGATATCATCGGAATAATGTCGGATAAGACTCGCTCTTGGATCGTTACTCACACTTGCGTGCGGCTCCAACGATGACGTGTACAGCTGCCCATAGAACCTCTCAATCTCACTCAAAATCTCAGGTGCCCCGGAGACGATGATGCCACACTCTGTCTTCAGCTTTGACAGTTGGCGCTTTCTGGCAGACAGATCTCTGGCAAAGACTTTGGAGCCTTGGTTCCGCTCGATCGCTTCTTCAATACGAGCTGTATTGAATTTGCGTAAGTCCCGCCGCATGCATTTGGAGATCTGTCTGTTCAGTTGCCTGTATACTGTCAAATCTGTTGAAGAATGTAGCTTCATCTCCCGTCTAACAGCCATGAGATTAAGAGTGTGATCGGAGAGTTTTTGTGTTCTTCTGCGGCGGGTCTTGCAGAACTTAGCTCCGACCGCATGGACAGTTTCCACGAGCTTGTCATTCAAATCGTCCACTTCATTGCAGTCTTCTAGGCACTGAAAACGGTTTTGTAACTCGAGCTGAAAGGTTTCGGGACTTTGGATTAGAGCACGAGGGGGACGGAGCGTTGACTTCATTAGACGAGACCTCTCCAACTTAACGTTAAGGTTCAGTGTGCCTCTAACCATTCGGTGATCGCTGCCGGTTTTCACCCTCGCGATCACTGAGACATCACTGAACAGTTGTCGTCTGGTCGTCATAATGAAGTCAATCTCATTTTTTGTCGAACCGTCGGGGCTCGACCAGGTCCACTTCCTGTGGGGCCGCTTCTGGAAGAAAGAGTTCATCATAAAGAGTCCCTCTTTCTCCATGAAGTCAGCCAACTGCTGGCCCCTTGGGTTCCGTTGCCCTATTCCGAAATTCCCTACTTTCAGCTCACCGTTCTCTCTTGTGCCTAGTTTTGCATTGAAGTCTCCCATTAACACCGTATATTGGGTTTTGGAGGAATGCATGGCTCTAGAGATATCCTCATACATTTCCTCCACCTCCTGATCGGGGTGTGCCGAGGTTGGTACGTAAACCTGTATGACCTTCAGCGAATACCGTTTGGTGATTCTGAGTATAAGGTACGCAACCCTCGTCGACACACTCTCAATCTTTACAAGGTTGTTAACGAGAGACTTGTGGACGATAAATCCGACACCTCCTTGGGACAGATGGTCGCCCTCCCGGTAATAGAGCAAGTTGCCGGATTCGAGGATTACCGTGTCCTCCCCCTCTCTTCGGACTTCGGATAATCCTATAATATGCCAGCGTAACTTGTCTATCTCTTCTTCCAGCTCTACAATCTTCTCGTCAGTCCTCAGGGTACGTGCGTTGTATGTTGCCAGGTCGAGTCGTCGTAGGTGGCAACCGAACCTCCACCGGAGATTCTTAGCACCCCCTGCCCCGCCGTTACCATGGTCGCCACCGTAGCCAGGAATAGCGGGGCCGCCGGGGACTGGGGGCCGTTTATTATTGTCATTGCTCATGGGGGGTATATTGCCATAGTTGCCACGCTTGGCGAGCGGGTTGGCAACCGCAGTACCAACTATCTGTTGTGTATATTCAGATAATGAAGAATCATCTAAAAATCGAGATACATTTCCTCCGTTTTCATCCAAAATATTTTCTTCTGCCGTTTCACTCTCATCTTCATCATCTTTTCGTGTTGCTGGAGTAGTTAAATTAATACATTTGAGTGCCGAAGAGCACGTCAAAACACTTATGTTCTCTAGCGGCACACAATTTCCTGAACCAGCAGATTTAAGCTCCATGTGACACAAAAGTTTTCTGTATATACCTTTCAATTGTCGGGCATTTGGATTATCGTTATAACCACCATGCATACGTATCGCTCCAAAAAATAATTCGATGTGGTCTTGGCTGATGCGATATGTGGATAAGTACTGCATTTTATGTGATTCTATTACAGTTGTATATAACGCTTTTAAACTATTAATACAAATTAGAACTCCAAGAAATTCGGTGAAAGAGTTCGATTTCAGTACAGGTGTGTAGCTCTTCAGAGTTATTATCTTTTTTGTTTCATGTTCTGTGTAAGTTCTTTTTCTCGAGACTTTCAAATATAGGTTCAAAATTAAATCATTTACTTCTTCCAGTACTGTAAATAACTCATCTTTATTTTTTGGACTCAAGGGCTGTTTATAGCCATATGCTTGTAAGTTTCTGGAATTAAAAACATCAAAAACGTTGTTCATTGCCATTATGAATTTTTCTGTCGCCTCGCTGTCTTCAAAACCAGACAATTTCAGCTCTTGTCGACAAAATTGTATTGCCTTAGAAACACTCCTTCTCAATAATTGTGTTGCCAATTTGACATTCATTATAGAATTTCGGAATTCGATATGTTTTTTGGTCAAACGATTCGCTAGATGAAGCCCAATTTCTTCTTGGAGATTTGATAATTTTTTGACATATTCCCACATTATTTGCTCATTCTTGTACAAAAAGATTTCCTTCAATTGAAAATGATTTCGAATTAATTTCAGCATATGGCAGAAATCCAAAAACACTGCTACTTTATAGTCAGCGCATGGGTGTTGAAATGTGGTTTTCAGCCGTCTATGGTCATTCAATTCGCAACCCAGGATCTTCATAGCCGACATATTTGAGGAGTGACTATCAAAAGTTAATGATACAATATCAACACCTACTTCGTGACATTTGGTAAGTATAGTTTTTATAATATTTGCTTTTTGGTCTCCCGTCATTCCATGGACTAAAAAATAAGCGACTGGTAATTTCCAAGGCTCATTTAATGATACTAACAAAAAAACATAAGCCTCTGATGCTTTGATTCTCATATTTTCGTTAGGACCAGTGCCTATATCAACAATACCATCATCCTGTTTAGTTTTATCATTAAAACACTTCTGCTGTCTAATTGCCATTTCATCCGCTATTAATGCGCAAATCATATTTTTATCGGATTGTTTTCTTTTAGCATCCAAAATTTTGAACGAATCTTCTGTAAACCCTGGAGAACCATCGATATTTGCATACCATTTCGATATGGTTTTCGGGTGAGGAAGGCATGTTTCAAATTTACTCCTGACGAATCTATACGCATTTGGTGACAGAAAATGTAAAGTTAAACAAAATTTTCTAAATTCTGGTGCATATTTAGATACAGGTCTCTTAGATTTTTTTTGTAACTTTTTTTTCATTGTAGCATATAAGTCAGCAGCAAATACGTTACTATCTAGAACGTTATGCGTATCATTGTCTATGTATCTCTCTTTTTTAACGTAATAAGAATATCTTTGAAAGTTGCAAGTTTCTTCTTAAGTCGTAGATTTTTTCTTCTAAGCGATTGCATTTTTAGAGAATGTTTCTTTTGGATACGAATTTTTCTGCGTAATTCTCTACATTAATACAATTCACAAAATAAGGCAATGCTAAATTAGGTACTCACCGATTTGATGGATATTCAAGTTTATCTTCAATCATTTGCAAAACATCCAAACAAGATTATTTCGATAAACGAAACCTTGTCTTGAAATCTACATCGTCGTATTCTTCAAAATAATCACGTCACTCTTTATATGTCTTAGGACGTCGAACAATATTATCTAAAAGTTTTAAATTTTCTAAAATATCATCATTTTCATGTTCAAAAATAAAGTTATACGCAGCTTCCATTTTATTTGACCAACTGACTGTTTTGGTCATCAAGCAAAAAACTTTAAATCATTTTTTTATTGATTCAGGACCCTGGGAACAATGAGGTTTTCTATTTTCCTTATCCTTATTGCATGCATCATTGTTTGTGTTATTTGTTTTTACTTTTTTAGTTTTTATTCTGTGTTCTCTCATTCTATACTTAGCCAATTTATTTTCAAGTGCTTGTAATCTTTGCCTTAGATACATATTTTCACATTTCAGAATTCTTCTGTTTCTAGCTGCGATAGCTTTTTCAGAAGATACCCATGTTGATGATTGAGGGGTAATTATAGAAGCTGATGGGCTATTGAGGGGTATTGGAGACGATGGTGGTGTTTCTTCGTTCAACATTTTCTGTGTAGTATTCCGCCGTCTTTCGTGCCGTCCGCATCGTTTCTGTGTTGCTCTGCGCTTAAAAAATCCGAAAAATAGGTAAAAGTTATTCGATTTCTGTGAAACAAGTGTTATTTTGTGCAGTTCACCGTATTCTTTGTGCTTAGTACTGTGCAAGTTGTGAGAGGTGAAGTGTCATAAGGATATTCAGCAAAATATACCGGCGAAACTGCAAAACAGGTAAAATTTTACTAAAAAATTTACATATAATTGCATACGCTACCAATTTTAGATCGACGACCTGCTGATTTTAATATCTATTTTTGTGACACTTATGAAGCTCTATTATATAGCACACTTTTTGGATTTTTTCGCTCATTAACTTTTGAGTAATTGGGTGAAAACTGGAAAACCACGTGACACTGAAAATTTAAACCGCAATCGTGCGGCTGAATTTGAATACATATTATAATAACACACATTTAAGTTAACACCCCGGTGCTTGAAGCACAGAAATCGGAACGTTATATTAAAAGATATAGTCAAAAACGCTAATTTATTAAAACTGGTTCAACTTCAACTATAAATTGCGAGTTATCTGAAGTGACGACATATTATTTTATTCTATATAATAGTAGTTAAACTTACCCTTAAACTGTTTGCAAAGTTTCGGATTTTTTGAGCATAAACTTTTTAAGATATTAGAATTTTCCTAAAACACACTAACACGTGCTCTGTGTTCCTACAAGCTGGCGATATCTTTGTCACGGCATAGCCCTAGAGCACTAAAAAGTGAAAAAGAATCCGTTTTTAGAACATCTCCATCACTTTTCCTTACGGAGTTATTTAATTTTCAGTGTTTTTTTAGGATTTTTCAGCACCTGTTTGTTTCTCGTTAATAACCATATTATTATCGGCTCGGCTGTAAAATTCTTCGTAATTACAGCCCAAACACGACCACTTTCTGTTGCCGAGATATAAAGATTTATTCTTTTTCCACGATTTTGCTCGCCTTATTGGAAATCTTGTGTAGCTCATATCTCGACAACCACTCATCGCGGTTTCCAATATACATCTTTAAATTGTCTGTAGTATCATTTGAAACCAAAAACGGCAATCGCCAAAAATCGCACAAACTGGCGATAAAATAAAATAGTTAGTGCAAAGGCGATCCGAACAAGCCCAAACACGGATAATTTATCATAAGTGGAGAAGAAAATATGCCCTGTTAAAATATCGTCCACCATCTTGGACCGCCATCTTGCAAAAATAAAACTTCATAACTTTGGAACCGTTTGTCTGATTTGAAGGCGGTTTTGAACAAAATCAAAGACAAATGGGCTTCTAATATCCTAAGCTATAATTGAAAGCACGCGACCCGGCAAAGTCATCTGCCATCTTGGAAATTTTCAAAGGCGCATAACATCGTCTTAAATAAGCCGATTTGAACGCGGTTTATGGTTTTATCAAGGGCTCTTAAGGTTCTGTCAAATCCCCTTGACTTCCAAAGTGAGATCCATCACTCGATTCACTTACTCTTTTTCGGGGCTAGCGAAGTGCAAAGCAGCGTAATGTCGGATAAATCAGAAAGACCAAATACTGGCTGCTCTGAAAAACCGCAAGCACCTTAAAAAAAGACAATCGTAAAAGGTATAAAAGACTGGACGCGGCAGACAAAAAAGTATCAGAACAGACAAGCCAGCAGGCACTTCGCGAGAAGCCAGTAGAACCCACGGAACAGGGGACTGTTGAACTTCGGGGTAATGTCCACGAAATAACACGCGATGAGAGAGCGGGAGAAGAACCAGACACTCCGGACTTGCTCTCCTCGTCGCCCAACATAGATGAAGCAACAACGTCGTCCCCAGTGCTTGCGAGGCCAGGCTCAAGTCTTCTTCGGATACGTACACAAATAAGGCAAGCGAAAGCTGCTGAATCCAGAGACACCTTAAGAGCCAAGTCTGAGACGGAGGTTACCGCTGGCTCGGACGTTGACAGCAGAGACACAAACACCTCTCTTGATGCTTCTTCACGATCCATTGGAGGAAACCGAATGCTCTAAAACGAGTTGCCCAGACATGCTAATGAAATACTCCGAACTAAGGCCGAGCTAGAAACGTTTGGCAACTTAAAAAGAGAAATTCGATAAAGTGTGGTGTCGGGGCTATACACATTATACGAAATGGTTCTTAAACTATCTGATTCAAGAATGCTGCACATGCTTGAATCCAACAAGCAGAAATTGAATGTTTCCCGCGAGTCCGAAAGGCTCACGCAAAGACACGCGAGATTTATGCAAGAAACCCTAGGACAATATGCTCTTTTAAAGGAGGACATTGAAAAATTACAGAAGGAAACGGAATCCACCAGATTACTTCTGTCATACGACGTTTGTGAGGCTGTCACCGCAACAAAAAGGAACGTTATGAATGTAAAAAACGAAATATCCACAGACCCCTCCAAGGCTGACAAAGGCTACAAAGAACCCGCTCCTACGACTGATGGGCGTGATCTTCGACCTTACAGACAAGAAGTTTGAAGAGGCCATTATGAAAAAGAATAATGCTCTCCTACACGATGTACCAACGTCACAACTACATGTTAAAGTAGTTAGGAGAAAAAAAGGACGCACTAGCTCCACAAGCAACGTAGTCTTGGAGGTAAGCCCACAAATCTGGGATAAACTCAAAGATCATAAGATCAGAATCGGCTTTCAAGTAGTCCCGGCCATCGATCAATCACCTTTATTAAGTGCTATCGATGTCTGGGATTTTCTCATAAAGCATGGGAGTGCAAAGCCCAAATAATGAATTGTGGCTATTGTGCCGAAGCACACGACACCAGGGAGTGCTATAATAGAAACAGAGCACCCAAGTGTACAAATGGCGCAGAAAAAAGGCAAAGTGAAGCTAATTGTGCTCACCCTGCATACAGCCCTGAATGCCCAGAGTGGAGGAAATGGGATCGGATAGCCAGATCAACTATCACATCACCGATTCCCTTCCACACAGAACATCAGGCGCAAAGGATAGCACAATAAAGATTGCACAAATCAACCTTGGGAGACGGCACGCAGCATTTCAGGAATATTTGCAAGCAGCCGAATCTCAAGGGGCCAAAGCACATGTCAACTGTAAACATAAGGTCATACAAAACATATGTTTAGTATGACCTTATGTTGTGATACCCAGAAACCTGTCAAATCGGCTGTCATTGTCGTTGACCCAAATATACAATACACTGTTAATCCTGACACAATAACGGAAAATATTGTTGCTATTTAAAATATATATATATATATATATATATATATATATATATATATATATATATATATATATATATATATATATATATATATGCTAGGAAGGGAAATCAATGCAAAGAGTCCCTGGTGGGGTTGGGATGTGGAGTATAGACGGCGTACAGC